TTGTTGTTGTTGTTGTTGTTATTTCCTTGTTCTTTTTCAATTAACAGTGAGAACATTCAGTTTTTTCCAATCTAGAAAATGTTGGCTAAGAAATTGGCGAGTCCTTTTCCAGCTATTCCATAGCGATTGCATTTACTGTTATGTTTAGTGTAGCTATTGAAACAACCCCTGTTCTGGGTGTATCCCAAAAAGGTCTTATGTCCGTGTTGTTTCACAGATGGAGCTGGAGTCTCTGGGACCATCTACTCCTTCAGTGATTCATGATGAAAATGGGAATGTGATTGACAGCAGAGAAGGAGAACCAATTCAGTTTATTTTTGAGGAGATTTCCTGGCAGAGAGAAATAAGCTGGGAAGAAGCATCTGGGAAACTGGAAGTGGTCATGTATCCATTTAAGAAAGTATGTAAAGATCTTGACAGCCTTTCAAATGTGATTAAATAATTATGTCCATGCTCCAGGGAATTGAATTAGCCAAAACTCAGATATGTGAAATAAATACACAGTACATTTTTTGATACATGCTTGGAAGTACTGGTTGAGGTCCCAGTGGGAATCTGGATCTCTTAATACAACTGGTGTTTTGATGGCTGTATCTTCTCTCCCTTCCCTTATCCCCGAGGCCATTGTGAAAGAGGCAAATGATAGAAATGTTTCTAGGAGCTTCTTATCAGCAGAGAACACAAAGGCTGAGTGTAACTCAGGAACTTGAAATAAAGAGTGAATTTATAACTCAAAAGTATGAAAAGTTACACAGTTCTTGTAACAAAGCTCTCCCTCCGCTGAGCTAGGGGAAAAAAATTCCAGGAGAAAATGAAATTAAAACAAAAGCTGTGGGAACTTGAACAATCGAGTCATTTTAAGACATTTGTGCATGGTTGACTCTTAAGTAACACAAGTACTTTCGGCTCAAGGATTGCATCAGGCTTTGTGCCCTATTGATGGAGCAGTTCAAAAGTGGGTAGGCCAGGATTTTGGGGTGTGGTTGGGATTTATAGGGGGTGAAAGGGCCCTGTAAGTCACTTGAGAGGTTTAGGGACCTTTTTTAGTCTTTAACCCATACCCCAACCCCCAAATACACACAAAAAAAAGGCTGCCAATCTTGGCCTCGCCTATTCAAAAGGAGTCTTGTGGTTTGCAAAGAAAATAATAGCCTACAGGGCACGTTTTTGGCATGTTTGTCTTAAGAAGACCAGATTTCTTTTAAGAAGGCTTATATAAGCAGGATTGGCCAACTTACAGGCTTGTGCGTAATGCCGGGTTCTCTGGTTAACTTGAAATATGTGACTTCTTGTTGAATGAATTGCGAGAATATTGCATATGAGCAGTTATGTAAATAGTAGCTTACCCTGCCTTATCTGCATTAGTTATTTCCTGAAGAGGAAACCACCTGAAAATAATCAGGGTTGTAAATTAAGATGGGAAGTTGGAAAAGAGCCCAGAAAAGGACATTGAGAAAACCACTTATGCACTGCTGCTGAGAAAAAATACTGAATATTGCTAGGAGTTGAGTGCGATTCAGAGGCATTCTTACCTTTAAGTAACAGAGCAAGTGAAACCTGCACAAGCTGGGGGGGGGCTCTGTCTTGTCTTTGGTTTGGGGAGGGTGCCTCCTCCCTGAAGATGCTGTTTGAAATGAAAATGAAGCTTCAAAGAATCAAGCTTTGAAGAAGTAGTTTTTCTCTTGGCCCTGATGGAGGAGGAGGAGGAAAACTTCACAAAAAAACGTTGAGCCTTAAAACACTTGCTCCGAAACTGCTCATATGACTGAGTTGATGTGACTTTTACCTCATACATTCAGTGGTCTGGGAGCACCTCCTGCATTATGTGAGGAAACCTCTTTTTCTCCACTGTTGTGCATTTTTGACAGTTGCCGTGTCCTGGAGTCAGATGATCGCCATTTGCGGATTTTCCCAGATGGCTTCTGACAAGCATAGTCAATGGAGAAAGCCAGATTCTCTTGACATCTGCAGGTTTCAGTCAAAAAACTGCAGCAATTCGCTTAACATCATAGCAAAAAATGGTGGTCAAATCAGGCATGACTCACTTAACAACCACTTGGCTTAGCAATGGAAATTGTGGTCCCAATTATGGTCGTAAGTCAAGGACTACCTGCACAGTATATAGCAGGGGTCTTCCAACTTGGCCCTTTTATGACTTGTGGACTTCAACTCTCAGAATTCCTCAGCCAGCTTTGCTGACTGAGGAATTCTGGGAGTTGAAGTCCACAAGTCATAAAAGGGCCAAGTTGGAAGACCCCTGGGACAAACACTATAATCCTCACTAGCTGGATTTGGAGGGGAGGGACACCCCCACCCCAATCCCCACCAGTCTGTGAGAGAGAGCACTCTGCACCAGCTCAGGAGCCCTCTCTTCTCATTTCGTACCAGGAGGGAGGTTGGGCCTACGAGGTTGATAAAGTAAGACGGGGTGGGGGAGTAAGAAAGTCCCCTTAGTCCCCCCCACCCGCAAGCCGCCGCTCCCCCTTTTGCAAGTGCCCCTGACACGGTTCTGGGTCCCCACCAGCGCCGCATCCGTGGAGGCGGTGGTCCCGTCAGGCCAAGGGACCTGTGGCCAATCAGGGACATTTGATATGTCTCCATTTTGAATATACTATTCCATACTATGCTATTTAAACATTTTAGCCTTCATAACAATAAATACATGAGCCAGACATCCCAAATGAAGGGTACATTTTGTTTTTCAGGTTTCCTACTTTCCTTTTACCCAGGCTTTTGAGAAAGCCAAGTCTGAGGGTAAACTTGTTCATTCCATACTCTTGTGGGGAGCCTTAGATGATCAGTCATGCTGAGGTAAGGGCTGAATTTGACATTGGGGTGTTTCTTAAAAGGAGTTTGTCAGGAAGTCTTAAGTTGTGTTTTTTTCCTAAGCAGAAGATAAAAATGCTAGGGTGATTATTGAGAATATCATTAATAGTATTTGAGGTAAACATAATATACTTGTTGTTTTGATACCCTGATTTTTAACTCAACAGCTCATTTGAAACCCTAATTTTGCAACGCCTCTATAAAGGTGCTTCATTGGTTAAGGATCTTGTGCCAGGTTGATTTTACATAAAAATCTCAACAATGTATGAAGACAGGCCAGTGTTTCTCAGCCATGGCAGCTTGATGATGTGTGGATGTCAGAATTCTTGGGAGTTGAGATCCACACATCTCCAAGCTACCAAAATTGAGAAATACTGATCTAGGCTTTGAATAAAAGGAAGCCATGCACTGAAGAACGTAAAAAGAAAATTGAAAGCAGGCAGGAACGTAAAAGTTGCAAACAGAGGTAGGAAGAGGAAATGCAAAGATAGAAGGGCACACATAGGGATAGAATCAAGATCACGTGAAGTATTAATACCACTTTACAATGCCTTGGTAAGGCCACACTTGGAATACTGCATCCAGTTTTGGTCACCACGATGTAAAAAAGATGTTGAGACTCTAGAAAGAGTACAGAGGAGAGCAACAAAGATGATTAGGGGACTGGAGGCTAAAACATATAAGGAACGGCTATTGGAATTGGGTATGTCTAGTTTAACGAAGAGAAGGACGAGGGGGGACATGATAGCAGTGTTCCAATATCTCAGGGGCTGTCCCAAAGAAGAGGGAGTCAAGCTATTCTCCAAAGTGCCTGAAGGCAGGACAAGAAACAATGGATGGAAACTAATCAAGGACAGAAGCAACCTAGAACTAAGGAGAAACTTCCTGACAGTTAGAACAATTAACCAGTGGAACAACCTGCCTCCAGAAGCGGTGAATGCTCCAACACTGGAAGTTTTTAAGAAGAGACTAGACAGCCATTTGTCTGAAATGGTATAGGGTTTCCTGCCTGAGCAGGGGGTTGGACTAGATGACCTCCAAGGTCCCTTCCAACTTTATTNTTATTATTATTATTATTATTATTATTATTATTATTATTATTATTATTATTATTATTATTACATTCAAGCAATTATAAAACAAATGACAGTACAGTACAGTAGGATGTTTTAATTCAGTTTGCATATTATCTCTCATTGTTTCTAATGTCTGCTTTCTGCTTCTCCTGGAAGTCACTGGCATAATACTGCATGCCAAGCCCTGCACAAAGACTTTACTCCAAACTGCCCTACTAAGCCAATTCAGAGTGACTTGCATTAAGGCAAGCTGAGCTCCATCTCCCGACTGGGCATATCAAGAACCTTGTCTGGGGGCCCTTCTGATGGCGCCCACTCACTCCTATATTCTTAGACTCTTCAATGTTTGCAGCAGAACCAACATAACATATTCAAGGAGATGAAAGTGATGAGCGAGATATGAATATTACCACTTTACCTAAAGATTCAGACATCTGCTCCTAAGTGATGATATGTTTCATCCAAAGATTTCCCTAACCTCTTTTGTTCCTCCTCTTTGAGCAGGTTCAGGGCGAACTCTCCGGGAGACGGTCCTGGAAAGTTCGCCCATCCTTGCATTCCTGAATGAGAGTTTCATCAGTACCTGGTCATTGGTGAAGGAACTGGAAGATTTACAGGTAAGCTGCTACTGAACTTCAAGGTGGAATGGGTAGTTTGAGAAGACAAGGAAGAGATCACATAAGATGAACTTTGTTCTGTTGGTAGTAGTAGTTTATTGATTGCAACCTTGTCAATCCTTGCTCTATTAGATCATGTTCTGTTTACTTCTCTGTTATGGTAGCCAGTTCTTCTTTGGATGGATCTGGGAAGCTTGCAAGCAAGGCATAAAAGCAGAAGTACCATCCTTCTTTGTTTCTCAGCACATTGCCTCTAGTCCTTAAGGATTTCATAACCCTTATGACCAGTAAGCTGACCCTCCATTGCAGCAAACCTGGAATGGGATCCCTAAGCCCCAGGATTTTGTCCTCTTTGTTTAGTAAAGTTGTAACTGCTATAATCTATTAAGCTCCTGATGCCTATTGACATGAATATATGTTCAATTAAAGCATCCTTGCTGAATAAAAACAATGAAACATCCATGATAACATCCATAAATTTGTGAATAGTAACTAAATTACTGATTAAAAGTGAAAGATAAATAACTATAATCGGCAGTCCAGAATCAAATATATATATTCCCGTCTCAGTTCATCAAGTGCCCTCCAGAAGGACTCAGCTTTTCACCTCCTAAATGAGATCAGAGAAGAGACAAGTATAATATCCATGGGAAGGTTGGTCACAAAAATGATTGCTAATATTGAGAAGTGTCTCTGAGCCTCAGCCCCCCCCCCCACTTTACAGAAGTGGATTACTACCAAAGGCTTCTCTCAAGACAAGTTGGCTGGGTCAATAAGTGCCAACTCATAGAGGGCTTTATATGTCAAAACCTGCACCTTGAGTTGCATCCATACTTCTCAGAAGCCAATGGAGGACCCATATGGTGTATTCCTGATGCCATACACCACTGCATTCTGCACTAATTGAAACTTCCAGATGGACTGCACATTATAGTCATCCAGTCAAGTGGTGAAAAGCATGACTTCTGTTGGCACAGTTCTCCTCCTTCAGGTATGGCCACAACTAGCACACCAATTAAAGCTAACCACAGCCTCCATCTTCTTCACCAGTAGTGAAGTTGGTGGCGGCGGCAGCGTTCTCCAGGGGCAAAAAGGAGTGAGGCCTCTTTAAGGAAAAGGTGGAAGAGACAAGATCAGAAAAAGGAAAGGAGGCGAGGTTGTCCTGCAGGAATACAAGCTAATTTGAGGGCTAATCCACATGGAGCTCTGTTTCCATCTGTCCTGTTTGCCATCGTTCACCATCGATCTGTAACTTGAGCTGGCCACGAACAAGGAGTGTATATCGGAGGTGGTGCCCTTTTGAGAGCTGTATGCAACGAAATTTCATTTTGATGTATGCCGATTGGTGTACTTTCAAAATGATAATAAAGTTACTATTATTATTATTAGTAGTAGTAGTAGCCAGAAAGACTTCCATGTTGAGAACCTTCAACATTCTTCTTCCTTGTCAAGAAACACATTGGAGCTGGATTCTTCACTAGCATCATTTGTAGTTATCAGTGGGTGTTCCCCTAACACCTAATTGAAGAATTTGTCTTTGCTTATGACTGAAAACTAAATAAAGTTATATATGATTTATAAATGTCATTTTTAGTATTGGTTATGCCAAGTCTTCTACATGGGCAGGACTGTACAAATGAATTTGTTTTTATCTTTCAAAAACAAATCCTTCTGTCCTTCTGTTCTTGCTCATTCCCTTCTCAACTCCTCACAACAAAGCTTATGAAATGGTGGTCATGCAGATGTTGGTGAATCACAGTTTCCAGACTCCCTCATTCTGGATGAAGCTACTGCAAGATAAGAGTTGAACAACATCTGGAAGACAATCCAATAGACCAGAATAAAACAAGGAGCAAACAGTTAGGAAATACTATATCAACAATAATACTAAATACTGTAATAATCTTTCGTGGTTTTTAGATCTTGATGCAAGCATAGATTTTGATCTCATTTTAAACTGAGATTTGTTTCTGTTTGAACCAAACGAAGAGCATCTTAACTAACACAAGAAATGTTAAAACGCAAATGTCTCTTTCACAGGGTAAACGGGACGAGATCACCAGCAAACTTGCAGACCTACATCTTGAAAAGTATAACTTCCCTGTGGAGATTATGATCTGCCTGCCCAATGGCACCGTGGTAAGATTCGCACTCTCTTGGATCTTTTCAATCACCTCTCGTTTGTCTTGTAATTTTCTAAACCGTGGAATCTTTTGGAATTACTTTTGACTTGCCTGCAATTAGAATTGAACATCTCATGGACAATTCTGTATCACAGAGCTAAAATCAAACATTTGGAGCAATGCCGTGTTCTCGCAGCACTAAGAGAACAGAAAAATATTCTCTAATGATTGTCCTTTCTGTTCCAAAGGCTCAGAAATCAGCATTTGCCAAGCATCTGTAGGATGGTAAAAGTTAACTTGCATGAAAATGGCTACATCTTGGGCAGAGGCATGACACGCACATACTCAGAACCACTTAACCACTTAAGGGGAAGAAATTAGCTGAAATACTTCCCAAACTTCAGCTTGAAGCAGGGAGGATTTATCACAAATATTCACAGAAACACTAAAAGTTAAATATGAATGACTATATTTGCTGTTACGACTCTAGGTATCAATAGGAACAAAAAGAGATGCATGGGAGATTTCAGTGTATGTGTGTATATGCAAATAGTATCTATAACAGTGATGGCAAACCTTTTAGAGACCGAGTGCCCAAACTGCAACCCAAAACCCACTTATGCATCGTCGGGTGCTGGGTGGGTGTGGCCCATTGGGTGCCTGTGGCCCATTGGGTGGGTGTGGCTGCGGTGGTAACAGCAGACTGGGTGGGACTAAAAAGTTCAATCAATCAATTCCAACTTTGCAAGATCTTTTTTTTCCCCGCGAGAAGTTGAAATTGACTGATTGAACCTTTTTTTTTTTTTTACATGGCGGTGGAGGCCTAAAGCGAAAAGGTTTTATAAAACCCAGCTGAAGACCTAGGACGGGGGCGACGGTGCAGGTGCCCACAGAGAGGGCTCTGAGTGCTGCCTCTGGCACCCGTGCCATAGGTTTGCCACCACTGATCTATAATATAACTATCCACCAGGATGTCTATGGGAGAATGGTCCTTTTTTTATCAAAGAGATCCAGGCAAGTTTGCCCTGGACCTCCCTCCATCTTCAGTGGCTGCTGGGGAAAACAAGAAACATCCTATGGAGTTTGGAACCCTGCTTTTTTGTTTTGTTCTGCAGGTTCACCACATCAATGCCAACTATTTCCTGGATATTACTTCTATGAAGCCTGAAGAAGTTGAGAACAGCATCTTTGGCTTCTCCTCCAGTTTTGAAGACCCTTCAACAGCAACTTACCTCCAGTTCTTGAAGGAAGGACTTCAGAAAGCCAAACCACACCTGTAGCTCCGAGACCAAGAAGCAAACAAGTGCCCTCCTCTTGATCAAACTGCTTCTTGTGTCTTTGGAGCTCAGGCCTAACACAGTATTGAAAAACAAATGTATGTAAATGAAAATTCCCCTTAACCAGTTAAGTGTTCCTTGGAAATACGAAGGTCTGATATCTGAAATTGCCTGAATAATGTGAAGGAAGCCGCCCAGATGTCTTTCTTGGTGGTAAATTGTGGGATTATTCTAAAACTAATCAGGCTACAGGAAGTGGTACTTAGGAGACAGTGCAGTGCAAAGCATGGAGATTGAATAGGAGGCTGCAGTGAAATGCCAGCCGCTTGGATTTCTGACTCCTTTGGTGCAATTCTCAGTCAAAACCTGGTGAGTTGATTCCTTAGTGAGATACCATCGTTTCTGCGTCAAAGCAGTCCCCTTCAGGATCCTGAATTTATAGTACTTAAACACGGTTTTACACTTTAGAACTCTTAAGTTGCAAATGGTGTCAGAGTATCTCAAGGAGTCATACGTATCTTGAAGTTGAGAAACACCAGGCAGGATCTCTACATGTCTGTCTCTTATTGATGCTTGCAGGATCCCTTTGTTTGATGCCGTTATGGGGATCATTCCCTTAATCCAGAGTTTCCCAGTTTGTTACCCTCCAAGCTGCTGCAAATATAGTTCCTAGAACACCAAGACAATATCCTCTTGGCTGGGAATTCTGTGAGTTGTAATCTCATCCACCAAAGTGACCGCCCTCAGGCCACCAAAGCCTCCACCACTCCCTTTGACTATTCCTCTAGAGCAGGGGTAGGCAACCTTGGCTCTTTTATGACTCGTGGACTTCAACTCCCAGAATTCCTGAGTCAGCTCTGCGAGTTGAAGTCCACGAGTCATAAAAGAGCCAAGGTTGCCTACCCCTGCTCTAGAGCCAGATTTAGTCCCAAATCTTGCATTTTTTAAATCTGTTAATCTTTACCACCACCGAGAATATCTTACACTGCTTAAAGCACCCGCAGTATATGAAGTGCAGTCCCAGGAATCATGTGCTGTCCTACATCAAGCATTTGGAAGTGCTTACTAATGTTTTTTTGTCACAAAGGGAGAGTCCCAGTCACAGGAATTTAACACTGCTACAGTTGTGAGATGGTCTTCAAAACGGGGTCTCATAGCCTGTGGTTTTTGTCCCCTCCTTCCTCTATTTCGTGTTCTGCACATTAATTTCTCATGTTTCTTATTTCTTGACTGGGGGAAAAGACATGTAAATTCAGTTGAGAACAGGAGCATTCAGAGATAAGCAATATATCCTGTAAACCCCCCCCCCCCCAAATATGTTCTTTCTCTCCTGATCCCATGATTGATGATGATGTTATCTATTCAGTGGTGTCCGACTCTTGACGATTCTATGGACCAGGTCTCTCCACATCATCAGATCTTACACTCCTTGAGTTGTTCTACGTTCTGGCTGGTGTCAGCTTTGATGGTGTCCAGCCACCGTATTCTTTGGCGGCCTGATTTCCTCTTACCGCTAACTCTTGCAAGCACAATTGCTTTCTTCAGCGAATTCCCCTTTGCCTTGTTCATAGAATTTTATACTAGACCCCAAACGGCGTCTCTTCTTTTGATTTTTATTTTTTTTTTACACAATGTTTTTTTCTAGGATTCATTTGAGCGGTAGGTTGGGGGTTTTGTTACCAGAAAAAGAAAATCTATAGAAGACACATAGCTTGTAGAAAATATTTTGGGAATGAAGTAATATTTGTAGCCTTATTGGGTTTGTTTTTAAATAATGCAAAAGTGAGCCAGTATTTTTTTTATAAACAAATGTGTTCTGACTTAGGCACTCTGGGTGGTCAAGCCACCATCTGGATTGAAATCAGCACACTATTAAAATTCAGGTTTCTTTTTTCCCTTTGATTCAAGTTACAAAAGGACCTACCAGTATTAAGCCTACCACATCACATACGCTCTGAAGTCACTTAACAGTCTTTAATATAGAAGCAGCATATCAGCAAGAAGGTGGTGTCTAAGGATAGCCTCAGTTTACAGCAACCTTTGCAAGCTTTTATTTTTGTTTTAGAAACCTACTCAAATGATTTAAATGTTGCATAATCTGGGTTTCTGTATTCATATGGCAGTCTGCTCTTGTTCATCTCTTGATAGTTCTTAATCTACGCTCTCCTGAATTTTTTAATCCGCTTGGAACATTTCCATATATCCCTAATTCCCTTCTTGGGACATTCTGTGATCATCATAATTCTTTCTACTTAATTCTGTGTTGCCATCCTTTGTCTCTGGGTTCCTTATGTCTCTTGGTGACATTAGTAGAAACATGGTCTGTGTGGTCACCCTTATCTGCAGTGGAAAGCTGTAATGTTTGGCAAAACACACTCTTGTGAGATGCAATCCAACAAGTGCCTGGCACCTTGGATGGAATTATCACAGGGGTGTCAAACTCGCAACGTCACGTGACGTGTCGCGACGTATCACAACCTTTCCCCCATTGCCGGCAATGGGGTGGGTGTGGTTTCGGCGTGACACATCCGGCTGGCAGTTTGACACCCCTGAACTATCATAATGGTTGCATTCCTGTGTCACCCCAATTTGCTTCATAAGCAAGCTCAACTGATGGTTTGCAAACCACAGTTTATACATGTAGCCTATGCTGGCTTGTTCAGCAAACCATAGAACAACAATGTGTGAACTCAGCCTATGTGGCCAAGCATTTTTTGTGAACCCATGTGTTAAAGTGGAGCTCAGATTTCTAATAATTGGCATTTAAGCCACTGGTACTAACAGCTGTTACTAACAGTAGCTATTGTCGCTTTCATGTGTTTATTAATCTTTTAGAAATGTATGCTATTATGTTCCGTGACCGAGAAATCCCACAGGTGCATCAGTATTATACTTAATTTGTATTAATTTGCGTATGTTAGTATAATGTGGAGCTTTATTAAGCCAGTTTTTCTTTGCAAAGATAATGGCATTACTACTGCAAATCTAATGTAAAAGAAACAGAAGGGAGCACGTCCACATTAACTCTAAATCCAAAGAGGGTAGCTTTTTTTTTTTCCCTGGACCAGGTTCACACCTGGTCTTTGAATGGAATATTGGGAGCTGCAGTCCTCAAAGGAATGGGAAACTAGGATGAAAACCACATTTAAATGTAATTACCATTAAATATAGGTGCTTGAGGAAAGCCATATTAATTACATTTAATTTAAAAGAGCTTAGGGAATCGTGTATTAAGAATTTCCCCCTTTTGTCACATAAAAATTGCCGTTTAGTAATAATGTTAGAAAATCTCCAGGGGAGGGGGGGCACAGGCAAGGTTTTTAAGCCAGGGGCGGCGTCAGTTTGTGAATCTCTTCTGTAAGCAAGCATTCTTGAAACGTAAGATGTTTTAGAAGCCTTCAGAAAGAATGCCAAATGTTTGTGCTGATTGCCAAGCACTCAAAATTGTGTGATTGCCAAGCACTCAAATTTTCAAGACTTTATGCTTTATCCAGAGTTAAGGCAATGGAACTGAGCAGACATTTAGTAAGGGACTCATATGGCTTTACTCCAGGAAGTTCTGCTTCTTTTGTGCAGTGATCATCCCACCCAAATATTTGAAAAACAATCCAGAAAAACAACTTCCCAGATTCTTTCTCCTGCTTGAATGTATGAAACTGGCTTATATTAAGAGACAGTGGGTTTTCTTTGTCCAGTCCCATGAATAAAAGTCAGGGGTTTCAATTCAATTCCCTGCATCTCCAGATAAGACTGGAATAGCTGCTGCCTGGAATACTGGGCGCCATTGTCTGCTGTCAGTTGTTTCATTTATCCAAAGTTAATCGAATCTTGGATGCTTCCTAGTTGTAGAACGCATGCACAACAAGCCACAAACAAGCCAAGCACACTTCATCCTAATGGGTAGTGGGAATTCTAATAATGGTCTAAAGTGGGCCAATGATTCGATGCTGTAAAAGGCAGTTTTCTGCATTTCTGTGTAGGCAGACCAGCATTAATGCTCCAAAGTCTGAGTTATTCTCTTGCTTTTCTGCACTAGATTCACAATACATAGGTATTTCTGACTAAATCTGGGATTTTGGGACTTCAGAGAAAATGGACGTTTTCTTCTGTTGGATGTTGATGAGGATTGTGTAAGCTTTAGAGCAAGGGTGTCCAACTTTGGCAACTCTAAGACCTGTGGACTTCAACTCTCAGAATTCCCCAGGCAGCCAAGCTGGGTGGGGGATTCTGGGAGTTGAAGTCCTCAAGTCTTAAAGTTGCCAAGGTTGGACACCCCTGTTTCAGGTGTCTTTCACCCTGCTGCAAAAAGAATGCAGAGACTCGGTCTCATGTCTAATGCCCTTTTGTCACATCATGTACACCTTTGCCCTCACAAGGGCCATGTAAGGTTTCATATTCTTGGAAGCTTCTGTGCATTTCCTGTCTCACCCTCTTGACTTTTTACCCTGCAAATTTGATCCTGGTTTGCTGTAGCTTGAGCAGGCAAAAGGAAAATGAGTGAACGAAAACAATGATGTTCTTGGAAAAGAACCTTTCTCTGCGGAAAGTTATTTAAGGCTGCCAACTTGTATCTGAACCAAGAATAAGTTCCACTGAGTTCAATGGGATTTATTTTGGAATCACTGTGGAAAGAAAAAACTAGTGGGCACTTTTGGGAAGTAACCATTTCATTTATTCTATTTTTGGCCCCTGGATTTCTTAACCAAAAAAGAAAAAAAAAAGCTAAGCTTTTTCTATTTATCTTGTCACTATAAATAGAATTTTATAGGTATTTTGATAACGAGAGAGAGAAGAAAATGAATAAGTTGGTTTCTCTCCTTGCTCATCTGTTCTTTGTGAAGGTCTGATCTTAAATCAAGGATGGGTCAGGCTTGATTTCTGACAGTTGATTGCAGGAGAAAAAAAATCTATCATTCTTCTCTTCATTTTTTTAACTATTCTTTTAAAGATGTTTATTTTATTTTTGGTAAGTGTTTCTTTTTTTTTAAGGTGGTTTATTGTGA